CTCAGAAAGTTTTAAAATTGTAACAAAAAAAAAAAAAAGAGAAATATTTCAATGTATATTTACAATGCACTATTTAGAATATTTATAAATTAAAATGAAATATATTTAATGAAATTAATCGAGTGCCCTCGAAAGTATTGTAATTGCAACAAGATATTAATAGAAACTATTTCTCCAATGACTTCTAAACGATTAATTAAGAATTAATGTAGTCAGGCAATTCCTGTATTGAGTGTGGAGTTGCAAAAAAGGATAAAAAGCATATATTTAATGAAATTAATCGAGTGCCCTCGAAAGTATTGTAATTGCAACAAGATATTAATAGAAACTATTTCTCCAATGTTCTGCAGTAATTGTTGCAAATGTGACTTCTAAACGATTAATTAAGAATTAATGTAGTCAGGCATTTCCTGTATTGGGTGTGGCGTTGCAAAAAAGGATAAAAAGCATAGCATACTTTTCGGCAGCGCGACCAATGACGACATTGTAAATGCAAATAGCATGTCGGCTGTAATTCTTATGGGCGTTCAAAGTAGTAGGCATGGGTGGAAAATTAATAGTGAAATTACAGGGCGAGCCTGTCAGGTTACGCATCAATGGCGTTCACACACACACACACACACACACACACACACATGCACACACAGGCTCGCAGGCTGGCTGACTGGCAGGTGCCTGCGGCGGCTTCGATGTGGCAATGCCAACACTTAACAAAGTTATTCACAGCTGCCAGGTGGCGCAATAACAAAACGGGGGAAAAAACGAAATGAAGAAGATGGGATGGAAAACAAAGTGCAAAGCATACAAAAGCGAAAAAGGAAGCCAGTCAGCCAGTCAGCCACCCAGCCAGCTAGCGAGGGCCCGAAACGCTGCACAGCACCAACAGCAACAGCTTGATGAAAGGTGAAAGGTGTTGGTGTTGGCATCAACATTGGGAACGGCGTGTGTTGCAAAGAGTTACGCAAATTGCTGTGCTGGCAAGCTGTAAAATTTTATTAGGCATACAACGGAACGGCGACAACGACGACGACGACGATGACGACGAGAACAGGGACGAGGACAAGAAGTACAAGGAAAACAAGTACCACGACGACGATGACGACGATGGCAACTAACAAGCAGCGAGGCACGACAAATATGCGGTTACACAGACGGGTCACATAGCCAGTGAGTGACGTTGACTGACTGGCTGGCTGACTGGCTGACTGGCAGACTGGCTGGTAGGTGGATTGGATGGTTGCTTGGGTGGTTGGGTAGTGCTGGTAGGCCACAATACAGGCTTAATTTTCAAAAAGACGTTTTGATTTAACGGCGAACGCGCTAAGCGCGTTGAACAAAATTTATAGTCATGTATAAAACGTTATGGCCGTGGGCACTGAAACAGTTATTTGCAGTTGCCGCGCACGCACTAAACACACACACACACACACAACTACACCATACTCCACCCACCCATACACACACAGAGACACACACACACACACACAAATCGACACGCTCGGGGTCACGTGCACGCTCGCAAAATCAATTGAGTGCTGCGACCATTGCCTGCCTCTTGAACCCGAGCCCCAAAACTAAGCCCCAACCCCAACACCAACATCCACACCAACCTCAACCTCAACCCAATCCACTCATCCCCAAGCCTGGAATCGAACGCAATGCAAAGCAACCCAATAAACCATTTAAGTGCCCCATGCAAAATGGTCGTGACGGCAATAAAATGCCTGTAAATTCATTTTATTTGAAGCGCTTAGCCAGCCAGGTAGCGGCTGATGATGCTGTGGCATCAGCAGCGTTAGGTGTCAAGCACCTCCCCCCTCTCAAACAGAAGCCACCAACCAATCGCTTTGCCTGTCATGAGAAACCCTTCAAGTTGCACGTACCATGAATGGTGGGGAGGGGCGGGTAGAGCGTGGTAGAGTGTACGTTTTAGTGTTTGGTTTGAATATTTGTTGGCAACCACCTGCTTGGCATGCAAAATTAGGCAAAAATTTAACTCGGCAGCAGGCGGCGCCTAAAATCACGCAACGTTTTTTCGTTTTTTTTTTCTTCGCTTCTTGCGCGCCACATTGTTACATGCCTCAATGATATTTCATGTGCGTGTTTTACATATGCCACACTTACACATACACACACACACACACACATGCGAGCTAGCTGGTTGGCTGGCAGGCACGTAAAATTTGTCACTGACAATTTTCATAAATTTAAAAAGCGAAATAAATTTTCAACTTGGGAGCAGAAGCAGCTTGGAAATGTAAATGGGAACCGGAACGGGTACGAACAACTATTTCAGCTTGAAAGGTGGCATAAAACAGAAGGCTGATGTTTTCAACAGGCACACACACACACTGAGGCACGCACTCATATCATTAACTAGCAGTCAGCCACCATCTAAGGAGATGGGCAACAACAGCAATAACAAACTGCGGCTCCTTTAATGGCGCACATATGCAAAGTCTCTTCTAATGGATCGCTTGCTCGTTCCCCGAACCTGGTGGAATGCTTTAGTTATATGTTGTATATACTTGTATGTTTGTGTGTGTGTGAAACAGTCACAGACGTCAGCAATACCGCGAAGCAGATACAGCCTACAAAAAGTTCAACTAACATTTAACTTCCTTACTTTGAGATAACTATCCAACTATCTAACGGTCCTGTCCAGCTTAAATTAAATTTCAAAATCGATTAATTTCTTTGCTGCAGTATCTTTACTTCATACTACTTTTAATGCTTCTTACTTCAGCACATTTGACCGGATTAACCGACTTTGATGATTCTTTTTTTCATTTGAAAACTGGTGCTTCCCGAATGGTTCCATTTGAATTTCTTCCAGTTCTGAGAATGACATCCATGGCAAAACTACCTTAAACAAACCTCATTTAGTCCAAATAGCTGAAAATTCTATTCCTGAACAGCATCCGTTACTTCAAAAATATCCGCGAAAGTCACATTAAATAACAAAAAAAGCATTCACTGCACTAGACCTGATGTCAGTTTTTTTCTTGTTAAAATTGTACTTGTTTCCTCATTTTTGTCATTAGCTTCAATCGATAAATCTATTTGTTGAAATTTCGGGTCAGGCTGAGAGCGTTCTCATCAATTATTTTCCAATAATTTTTCAAGATAGGAAGCTAGTTTTAGATATAATGTAATCTTCATATTTATCTCCTTATTAAAAGAAATGAGTCTCTGTTTCTATGCCGGGTGAATAACCGCCGAGCAGGCTTGGCAGGCCTCATTTGCACTGACAACAGCAATGTTGCTTGTCGGGTGGCTGGCGGCAATCGTGTTTGCTTTGGCATTTGTACTCGCGTTCGAGTCCTTGCCGTCTGTGACACGGTTACTCAACTTCCGACGTCTACTTTTTCGCACTTTTCATGCCTACCGGCCCTCCTTCTCTCTAACTGCACTCCTACCCGACTGACTGACTGCCTGACTGCCTGCCTGTCGGGCAAACGGCACAAGCGAACACTTCCTCCGGCTCACACACACACATACACCTCGTTATGCATACACTGTCTTGCAGCTGTGCGCCCATACTCCACACCCCACACCCCTCACCAGACACCCTCGCACCCTTTACCAGCAGCCATGCTAATAATTTGATGGCGCTCTGAGCGCAACAACAAAGTCAGGTGTGAAATATTGTTAGATGTTCGTATCTACAGTGGATCTTATACATACATATAAGTATACTATATGGAGCGGTTCCTCTTGAGTAAAACTTTATTGGTGGACTATTTCTTTAAGAAAAGAGATTCAAGAATTGAAACTGTTAATGAAATGCTTTAATTCTTTGCTGAATCGATAAGAAATTAATTGCTGAACTAACTTTTGTTATAGCCTCCAAAAGCTCTTTCTCCTCAATTATCTTTTGGAATCCTTTTTCATTTAGCCGACTAAAGTTTTCTAATTGGTATTTGTTAACATTCCATAGTCTTATTCGGCCATAGTCTAAGGAGTTTTCCAATAGGGAAATAAGTTTAATAGGCCATCAATATAGTTTTATTGGTTTTCTCTTAAGTTAACAAATATTCTACGCTAAAAAGCGAAATGTGTATGCGATAATATTTAATAATGCATCACTAAGATAAAGTTATCGATAGCAAATCGATTGATTCCAAATAGCAAACTAGCACATAAATAAACTACCCTTTTCGTAAACTAAAAGCAGCTATCATTATACTTGTAGCATGATTTTAGATTTAAGAATCTGTGTATGTGTTTGTTAATCATCTTTAATTGGTTTTTACTGTACTATACACACACATACATAAGCGGCGCGACTTTCCACATCTCCCACACACACACGCATACGTGTATGAATTCATATGCAAATCAAAAAAGCATTCTCCGCCAAACGATGAGCATACGAACACACATGTGTCGGTTTCGTGGATTGGTGGATGGGTGGGTTGGTTGGGGACGGAAGACGGACGGCATCACAAGTAAAAACAGTTGAAAGGCATTTCATGTTGCGCTTTCATTACGCGTAATTTTTGGGCGCCACACCAAAAGCAACTCCACACCATAGCACCACCCCCAACCTCACCCCTCCCCTGGACAAACCCTTGCCAGCAAGGCAGTCAGGCAGGCAGGCACGTACTCTGTGACACGAGTTGGCGCCTTTCGTTTCCGTTCGCTTCCCTTGATTTCTCGTTGGGTTGGTGCATGTGTGTGTGTTTTTTTTTTGTCAGCCCCGCCATCCCCCTTGCTGGCGAGAACATTTTGAGAGCATTGCCAAATGCCAGAAAATTTTGCTGCTGTAATTTTTATTTTTTTGCTGTCTCTTTATTTGCGTTTATTTGCTTTTATGTTGCCGCCAAATTAAATTTAATTCAATTAAATGCAACGCCACAAAAGTCACAGAGACAGAGTGTCCCTCTGTCTCTCTGTCCGCACTGCATTTTCCACTTCTAACGTTCAATAATTACAGCAACAGCAGCAACAAAATGAAAGGGGAAATCAAATCGATTTATACTGAAATGGGAACTCACCTGCAAATTGGGCGGGCAATGATCGAGCAGCTCCAACATATGTTTGATATTCTGCGCATCCTGTATCACAAAATTCAATTCCATATCGAATTCACCGCCGACCAGCTGCAAAAAAAAAGATCGGAAACAGAACACAAAATGTTGCCAATTAGTGGAAAATCCATTTACGGCTGTTATGCAGTTTTTTTTTGTTTTCAAGTATAAATACATATATTTATATAATATAGAATGTTTGTATATCCAGCATGTTGGTAAATTGGTATTTCTTGTTTGCTTTGTGTATACATGTATCTGTGTGTGTGGATATTTCATCCATAATCAAACAGCCAAACAGAGGAAGCCACAATCGCTACGCAATGTGGTGCAAGCTTTTTTGTCCAAATTAAGAGCCAAAAACGATTTAGAGTTGGAAGAGAAAATCTCTTTGAAAGGATTTTCATTTTATTTTTATCAAATTTTGTTTATTGCTAAGTTGAAAAAATTTAGTTTATAGTTTAGTAATTATTTTCAGAATAAAAACATATTTTCTCCTTGATACAAAATTACAGAACAATCCTCTAACTAGCTTTAAGAATAAATTGCATGGTTGTAGCAACCATCAGATTATTGACTCCTCTTCTTCAATGATTAATGATGTGACTAAAGCTTTAAAGCCATAAAACAAATATTTTTAAAGAGTTGCATTCCGTTTTCGTCTGCAAATGAAATATGAAATTTTGTAAGGACAACTGTCATCCAATATTTGCTTTATGGATAGTAAGCAGAAATGTTGTAACTCAGAAAGCACAAAAGTAAATAAAAAGGGGCAAGAAAACAGATTATAAGAATGCCAACAAAGACTTTAAAGTCCCCCTATTTATTCGGAAAAATTTGTAAATAAAATGCCATTAAATATTAATATTAGCTATGAAAGATGACAGCTTTAAATGCTTTAAAATTAAAATAAATAAAAAGAGGCAAGAAAATGGATTCTGAGCATGACAACAAAGACTTTAAGGTAACGCTTTTTGTTCCTAAAAATATTGGTTAACAAAATGTCATTAAATTGTATTATTAATACTTGCTATGAATGATGACATCTTTAAATGCTTGAGTAATGTATAATACGTAATATTTCAAAATTTTGATTAAACGTTAAAGTCGTGCACTTTTATTTGACACTGAAAAATTGATTCAGAGTTTGCCAATCAGGAGACGAGCAAAGAAACATACTGACAAACAATAAAGGCAGCGTGCTGCCACAAATAAATTGATTTAAAAGGCTCTAACTTAATTACGCGGCCGCCCCACAATTCGCTCTACGAGTAACAATCGAAATCCATTCCGGACAAAAAGATACTTTTTGACAGCCAATTGAGCCGCGAACGAATTTTGTTTTCTTTTTTGGCTCCGACTTTTACTTTGTTTCCTCATCGAGATTACACATTGGGGGCAGTTGGGCTGTGGGAAGCGTGCGAGCGTCAATTTTTTATGCCTTTTATGCGGGCTTTAATAAAATCAGCAAATAAATTCAATAAATTGATTATAGCGGCGGCAGCGGCATATAAAAACTTTAAAAACCGACAAGTGTTACAAGTGTCGAACAAACACAAACAACCATACACCCACACACACATACACACACGCACACACACACACACACACACAAGCAGAGAGTAGCTGGTGTGTGTATTTATGGCTGTTTTTGTTTGTGTTTGCGTTTTCCAGCTCCTCAACCGCCGAGAGTTCTAACCAAGTTGTTTTGGCCAAGACATTCCGTTGGCGTCTGTCAGTCGGGCGCCAATTTATTGATGGGCGAACTTAGCAAAGTTCTCCTCCTATCGCCACAGTGTACAGCGCCTTAATGCAGTTAGGTAGCTGCAGACGTCCATAGTATGTATTTTTTATTTTTTTATGCAGATTATATTTTATTGGGATAATTATTCACATGAAGACTTAACGCATTTCTCGGCAGTGTTGATTAATCGCTTGACATGTTTTGGTTGGAAAGCGTACGATTTCCTTCACCGTTCCGCTAAAAGAATTCTTTTCTAGTCCAGTTAAGTAAGTGCACATTTCAAGCCTTCTTTGTTGGACAGAGATGTTGCTGTTTTTTCGGAAACTGTGCCTTGAAGTCTGTGTCTGGTTCTTGTTGGACACACAGAAATAAGCTGCACTTCAAATAAATTATTGAACATCTGCAGTTTCATGTACGTGGTATTTAAAACTAATTCAAATATCGAGTGAAGCATTTCGAGGGTTTCAAATAATTTTAAAGCTGTTTGTCAACTTCAAGCAATGCACAAATAAGAAGTACAAAGAATTGTGAACTTTGTAATTTCTATTTTAAAGTCATTTCTCTATGAAAAGCCAGCAGGTTGGAAAATTATGCTTAACTATTTGGCATGTTGAGGTATCTTATAAGGTGCCACAGGCCGTGGGAGGAAGGCAGGCAGATATGTTGCACATTTCGCTTCCTGTTGTTGCACTGACAAGTTTATAATTATGCGGCAGAGTGTGGCAGACAGAGACGAGAATGGAGAGGCAGATTAGAGAGGCGAGAGTATAAAAGCGAGTGAAGCCGCAACTCCATCTCCCGGCTGTCAGTGGCAAGTATGGTTGTGGGTGCGGCACTGCCTTTGCGATTTCTGGAACGCACAAATATGTATATACAAGTATACATGAGTATATACATACATCGTGTACAAGTAAGTATGTCGCATTTGTGCTATTTTCTGTCGCTAACTTAGAAGATGGCGCTTAAAAGTCATTGCCGATGGCCACCGATGTAAGTATGTGCCTTCAATTGCGTCCTGCTTTCTACGCTGAGTCGTTTGTTTGCCAAACAGGCCTGCTCTCCTCGGCGCAGGTCCTTCCGTTACCGATCGGGCTGCTCATTGCTTTGAACATGACATCTTTCGATTGTAACTGGAGTGAAATCAAAGGCGAAAACCACTAAGCTGCTTAGATTAGACTGCAAGGGGGCAACCATTTCCCCTTCCCCATCCTCTCCTTCCTCAGCAGACAGAAGCTTGATTGCCTCACCACACAAATACAAACACATACATGGGTGTAACCAGCAACCCATTAAGGGGGGCCTTTTGCCTTTGTACCTGCCACATAATCACTTCAATTGATTATAGAAAGTTTACAATTTCAAGTGGAAAACTGGTGAGCAAAAATAATATTAATTTATGTATAAGTAGCTAGCGGATTCATTGTGATTAGCTAACCAATTTATTGGTATCCTTGCGAAAATGTTTTATTAATTCTGAAGAGATAATGAATACTGAATAGAGAGGAAATATTTTAGGTTATAATGGTACATAGTGTCAAATGTTTAGGCAATTGAAGGAATATATCGATGAATTACAATAGTAATACATTGTTTTTTCTTTCCAAATTACTTATAATCAAAATGAATTACTTTTGAAGTGCTTGGGGTTTTTTCGCTTGAATTAAATTCCACTGCTGCTATTAACATACTAGTTTTAAATAAAGGCTCTGTTACCAATTTTTACGATATATTTAACATACCTATACATATTGTTGTCTGATCGAATGAAAAGGTGTTGTTTTCTTGTTCCGTGACGATTTATTCAATCTACTGTGTAGAAATATATTTTTGTTTTACAAACATTTCCATCAAAATTTACTTTAGCTTTCGAATATTTTGAAAACTTTGATCACAGATCTTAGGTCAAGTTTGTATTAGTTAAAATGAATATAGAAAACAGTGAAATGTTTTACACAACTCCTGAAAAAATCAGTTTTTTAGGAATTCTATAAAGTAACAAAAAAAAAAAAGAAAGACATTTCTATTATAAAAGTATCTTTTATGGATCCCAAAAGGCAAACAAGTCCTTCATTAATTTGTCAATTCTTTCATCGATCAATGATACCAGCTCGTCAACGGTGCACTCTTTACGGCTACTTGGAACACATTGAACAAATAGACAAATAAGTAGCGCTCAGTTATCGCATATAGGTAAGATAAGCCAGCGAACTTTTTAGCTTTCTATCAAATAAGGTTTAGGCAAGCCTATCAATCCAACCAACCATGACGAATGAATGAAATGAAAAAGTAAGAATGGCGCGCAATTGAGGTAAGTAGAATCAGCAACTTGGTTAATTTATGCGTAATTGTAGCGGAGGAACCCCCTTTCGCTACGCCCATGCACACACACATACACAAATAGACACACGCACCTATACACCCACCAACTAATTTACATGATTTCGTTTCATGCTTTTTTGCACAAATCAATTTCAATAACAATCATCAACCCGCTCGCCCGCGCCCCCCATCTCTGCCGTCTCGGCTGCCTATGACTTGGTCATCAAAGTCGTAACTCAAAATTGGAATGATAAAATAAAAATAAAGAAGAAGAATAGGGCGACGAAGAAGGGGAGTGGAAGACGACGACGAGGACGACGACGACGACTGGGCTGAGGAAGTTAGTAGAAGAAGAACAAGAAGAAAACTGCTCATTCATATTTAAATTAAACTTTGCGGAAAGTTGTTGGCGCATGCCAACGGCATTCTTATACACTATGCTCTCTATACTTGCCACACCCCCTCCACCAGCTCACTCCTCGCCCACACCTCGCATGTCGTAGCGAGGCATGGAAGCCCAATTAGGAGAACTTCATTTCACACTACAAGCGTTTAAAACGCTGCTTAATTATGTTCAAGCTCATGATTTTGGCCTTCGCGTTCGACCGGCCCGAAGTCGAGTCCAATTCCCTTGCGAGTTCCAGTGCCTGTAGTGGATGTGGGTGGTGGGGTGGTGGGGTGGAGGGGTGGAGCGAAAGTTGGGGGGTACGGGCCCCTTGCACCTTTGCCTAGCACATTTAGTCAATTTTGAGTTCATTTAAAAAGTTTTTCGCTTTGTCCCCCTCGTTCGCTTGTGACGTGACGCTGCTTGTCACCTTGCCCCCCCCCCCCCCCCCCCCCCCTTCCTCACTCTTCTTCTATTGCCATTCTCCCCCTTACGCACACACTCGCCATTTTTGTTGCTGGTGTTGGCGCTGTTTCTGTTTCGCTTCCACCGCTTTTTCGCTTATTTAAAGTAAATTGAATTTCTATTTTATTTTAAATGCGCATTGAGACGCACTAAAAGTTC